GGCAGTGCCACGGCCTGGCTCCCAACCCGGTCCTCTTCCACCCGGTGTGGCTCCGAGGCACACTCATCCTTAAGCTTCCAGAACCCCTCACCTGCTCCTGTCGGCCTGCTTGGTCTTCCTTCAGCCCCATCCTCTTTGCCCGAGGAGAGTGGCCCTTCCTCACTCGTCTCTGCGCTCAGCGCTGTGGCCTGGGACTGCGCTTCGTGCCGGGCACGCCTGCTTTGTGTAGAGTTAATGTCTCTGGGAGCCGTCGCCGTCTCTCGGCTTCTTACAGTGCGGTATCTGCAGCGAGTCTGCAGGCACTGGGACTCCTCCCAGGTTGGGAGGACCCAGGCGGGGCCTGTGCCGCATCCTTGGCATGCCAAGGGGCAGAGGTGGCCCGGGCTGTGGGCGCAGGTGGGCTGGATGCTTGGAGGCTGGGGATGCACCAGGCAGCTGGTGCCCGGGGAGGCACTGATGGTGCGAGGGGTGCGGCCCTGAGCATAAGCGTGCTGGCTCTCTCACCTGGCGGCACTGCTGAGCCAGCGTGGCTTTGCCTCTCCTGACTGCTTTCTGGGCCTTTCCTCACTCTCACTGCTGCCCCCTCCAGCCACACACCCAGAGCCTGGAGACGCTGAACCTGGGCCACAACCCCATCGGCAATGAGGGCGTGCGTAACCTCAAGAACGGCCTCATCGGCAACCGCAGCGTGCTGCGCCTCGGCCTGGCCTCCACCAAGCTCACGTGCGAGGGTAGGGTGCAGGGAGGGCTGCGGGCCGGGCTGGGGGCGGCCAGGCGGGCGTGGGCCCGTGGCCAGCCCCTGCGGTCCCCCTCCCAGGCGCGGTGGCAGTGGCGGAGTTCATCGCCGAGAGCCCCCGCCTCCTGAGACTGGACCTTCGGGAGAACGAGATCAAGACGGGCGGGCTCATGGCACTGTCGTTGGCCCTCAAGGTGAACCATTCCCTGCTGCGCCTGGACCTTGACCGTGAGCCCAAGAAGGAGGCGGTGAGCTGGCTTTTCCTGTGGCTGCACGCAGGTTTGGGGGAGCAGGGCCGGCCTGGGGCAACCCCAGGCCCCGCCACAGGGCGGGCGGCCACCCCGAGCCCTAGCCAGGCCACTCCGCCCACAGGTGAAGAGCTTCATCGAGACGCAGAAGGCGCTGCTCGCTGAGATCCAGAATGGCTGCAAGCGCAACTTTGTGCTGGCGCGTGAGCGGGAGGAGAAGGAGCAGCGGCTGCAGCTGTCAGCCTCCATGCCCGAGATCACCGTCACCGAGCCCCAGCCCGGCCAGGAGCCTGGGGACGAGCCCGCCGCCGAGGCGCAGGAGAATGGGGCCCCAGGGCCCGCGCCCGGGCCAGACTCAGACTCAGACTCAGACTCCGAGGGCGAGGACGGGGAGGAGGAGGACGGGGAGAGGGCGGAGGCCCCCTGCCCCGCCCTGGTGCCCCCCACGGACTCCCTGCACCCTGGGGACAGGAGTCCCCCAGGCAGCCCCTCCTCCCTCACCGAGCAGCGCATTTCCGTGTCCAGCCCGGGCCGGGGCCACAAGGTGTTTGTGGTGACCCGGGTGGAGAGTCCACCTGAGAGGGCAGAGCCACCTGTGCCCCCTGCCCCTCCTTCCCCCCCTGCCCCTCCTTGTCCGCCCTCCCCCCCTGCCTTATCCTCCCCGCCGCCCTCACCTGCCCTACCGCCAGCTGCGGCTGTTGGCACTTGGGACCCCGGGTCATCGGAGCCTCAGCCACAGGCAGAGCCGCCTCAGCCAGGGCCACCCCTGCCCAACGGCCTGAAGCCCGAGTTTGCCCTCGCACTGCCCCCAGAGCCACCCCCGGGGCCTGAGGCCAAGACGGGCAGCTGTGGCCTAGAACACGGTGAGGAGAGCTCTGGGGCCGGACAGGGGCCCCTGGGTGCTGTGTGAGCATCCTCAGTTTCCTCCTCTTTAAAATGGCCCTTGATCCTCCGTCCCCACCTGGCTTCCCTCGCACCCCTGAGAGTGCTCCCTAGGGGAGTCACACGTAAGATTTGTCGACTGGAGTCTGATGGTCTCAGTGGTCCCTGGGCCCTGTGCTGCCCTGGGGGGTCTGGCTTGGGCAGGGCTTGTGGGGATGGGCTGGTCCCCACATCCCTGCCCCCTTGACTGGGGGCTCCCCGCCCGCTCTCCCCTCACAGAACTGAGCTGCTCCAAGAACGAGAAGGAGCTCGAGGAGCTGCTTCTGGAAGCCAGTCAGGAATCCGGGCAGGAGACACTGTGACACTTTAGGTGAGCGAGGGCTGGGCCCGGGGCCGGGGCCGGGGCCATGATGGAGCCCTGGCCTGATGGGCCTCCTCATCTCCTCCCCAAGTTCCTTCTTTCCCATCGGTCTTCGATGAGCTGAGGCCGGAGCCCCAAGATCCGCGCACCCCCAGCCCAGTCTTCCTGAGGCCCGGACGCCAGGGGTGTGGGGGCCTTTCTGGGGACCCCCGCCCCCCACAGCAACACTACACAGGGTGCAGGAGCTGCAGGGAGTGGGCCTGCCTGCCCTGACTTAAGCACTTGTATTTATGTGTCCACACTTGGCGCTCGAAGACTCTGGGCTGGGGGTGGATGGAAGGAGGAGAGAGAAAGAGGAGGAGGAGGAGGGGGAGGAGGGGAAGAGGAGGAGGAAGTCTCCAAGGACTTTGGCCACAAGGCCAGGCCCCTTTTCCAGAGGGCTTGTCTGGCCAGGCTTGCCCTGTACAGGGCAGGAATCCTGGGTGGTGGTGGGGTGGTCCCCCCGTGGCCCTGGGCACAGGTCCAGGCAGGAGGCATGGCTTGGGAGGGCGGTGCGTGACGGTGGTGGTTGGCGGTAGAGCAGCCCCGACAGGGTGGGCGCGGGGCTCGGGGTGGTGGGGGGAGATGGGAGCGGAGGATCAGAGCTTTCTTTTTCTTAAGTGCAATAAATCTATCAGGGAGCTGGGGGGAGCAGCCGGGGCTCTGGAGACCCTGCTGTCCAGGCCACTGGAGGCTGCGCCCTGAGAGGCACTACAGCCCGGTGGGGGGGGGCGTGGGGGGGCGGGGCGGGGGAGGGCCTACTCCTGTCGGTGCAATTCTGTTCACACCTTTTCTAATAAACCAGAGCTGGGTGCACCATCTGCCTGCTCTCTGCCTCTGCGGATCCTGGGGCCCTGTGGGGCTTTGGGGCACAGGGAGGGGCGGGCAGGGCCAGACAGCGCCCGGGCCAGGAGCATCTGCTGGGACACGGGCAGGGGCCCCCGGAGGAAAACGAGGCTGGACAGGCGAAAGCCACTTCTTCCCACAACCTTCCCGCCTCGGAGCCGTCCTCCGCGTGTCTGCGCGCCTCTGTCCCATCCAGCTGCCTCACGCACAGTGCTGTTTACACCTGCCTGCCTTCAGAGGGACACACCCCTCAGGCGTCTTCCAGCTTCCGGCCTAGGTCTCAGGGTGATGGATGCAGTGCTCAGGTCAGAGGTCATTCCTCTGCCCCATCACCTGTGGCTCGAGAACAGACGTCAGCCTGTTGTGGTGGCTGAAGACATTCAGGGGTGTGTGTGCCCCCAGCGCTGGAGGGGGGGGTGGCGGGGGGGCTGTGGGGCATTTCTTGGGAATCACAAAACGAGAGAACTCCCCAAAGGGGCAAGGCCCTCTCAGGCACCGCTTCTTTCCCACGTGGGAGGCCAACACGGGGCGGGTAGAGACGCGGTGGGCAGGTTATGGGGATGGCAGTGTCGCTGGCCCAGAGCCCTGGTACCGCTCAGCTCCTGCACAAACCCTGGAGGCTGCCCCCAGCCCCCTGGCATCTGGGATGAACACCTTCCCTACTTCGGCCAGAGTCAGTTTGCTCTTCAGCCACTGGCACCCACCAGTGTCCTAACTGCTCCCAGGACAGTCACCGTTAGGACCCCCGTCTGGGCAGGGCTCAGGGGAGCCATGCACATCAGCCACCCGAGTGTCCCACCCTGCATCCCAGTCCCGAGCTCCGGCCCGCATCGTCCTCCAGCTGGTGCCGCTGGGATTGGGGGTGAGGTGGTGGTGCAACAAGGCCCCCCAGGCTGTCCTTCCTTCAGCCCCCTTCCTGGGAGACTGAGGTGTGTCTCGGGATGGTGAGAAGCCACAGTGTGGTGCCAGGTGGGCGTCCCTCAGAACAGCCCCCACATCTCAATACGTCCTTGGTCGGTTTTAGCTGTTGCCCAGGAACCAACCCCAGTGGCAGCTGTAGGCAGCAGTGTTGGCTGCCCACCCATCATCCCCTTCGCCCTCTGCCTCCACCTCAAGGCTGGGTGATCAACAGGCTGGACTGGGGGGGCTTGGCGTACCTGTCCCTTGGGTGGGGCCTGTGAGGGGCTGGGGGTCTGCCCCCAGCCTCGCCCCTCCCTTGCAGTAAATTTAGCTGCAGGAAGGAACTAGGCCTTTCCAACCCTCCAAGGTTGAATTTCGACCCCTACACACACACAAAGATACGCGAAGTCCTACCCCAGGACCTGAGAGTGGGGCCTTCTTGGGAAACAGTGTGCACAGAGGCACTCAAGTTAAAATGAGGTCAGAGGGTGGGCCCTGATCCAGTGTGACTAGTGTCCTCGTAAACGGGAAATTAGGACACAGACACGCACAGAGGGAAGATAATGTGAAGACCCAGCACTGTGACCACAGAGGACTGGAGTGGTGCAGCCACCAGCCAAGGAACGTGGCCGGCCGGCAGAGCGCCGGAATCTGGGCGAGGCCAGGGGGGACCCCCTGCAGGTTTCAGGGGGTACACAGCCCTGCTGACGTCTGGCCTCCAGAAGTGTGGGAGAATGAGTTCCCATTGTCCTCAGCCACCCAGTGGGTGGGCCCTGGTTGCGGCAGCCGCAGGACACTGAGAGCAGCTCTGCAGGGCTCCCAGTTTTCCGACTCGGGGGTCCTGGATCACAGGGGGGATCCTCTCCACCAAGTATTTTCTTTCCTTCGCCTTCAGCCACCCAGGCATCGCCCGAGCTCATAAAGACACAAGGGGTCTGTCTTAATGCCTGGCTGGACGCTGTACCAAATGTTAAAGACGCTGACGACCTAACATAGGAGACATTTATTTTCACGCCCATGGCAGTTCAGGGTCTGGCAGCTGATCTCCCCCCTACGGCTCTGCTGCCCCCTGGGTTCCAGGCGTCCCTGCCTCCAGCGGGCAGATGGGAGCGTGCAGAGGGCAGGCCTGCTGCGTAACTCGTTGCCACGGTCGGGAGGGACGCACAGCACTTTCACTCCCTTCTGTCAGTGAGAACCAGCCCCAGGCCTCTCAGCTTCCAGAAAAGCCTCCCACTATGGAGGGGCCGCGAGTGCTGGGGGCCTCACCCAGCCACTCTTCCTGTTTGGGTTTTGTTTTGTTTTTTAATGGTCTCCAAAATCACTATCTTTGGCAGGCACGTGGTCAGAGGCTAAGAGAAACAGGCAACAGTTGGCCACTGCCCGGCACCTTGATACAGGGACCACAGCTCCTCCCTGGGGCTGGGGCTCCTCAGTCCTCTCCTGACCTCCGGCCAAGGCCACGGGTTCGTCTTGTCTGGCAGCACCCACTCCTGGGCCCCGTTTGTTTTCAGCCTGGACCTCAGGTGGTAAAAACAGAAGCCCGAGGCAGACTGGCTTAAGGGAGGCCCGAGGGAAGGGACGTTGGCTCCACGAGCACGTCTCCAGAGACACGGACCTAACAGTGTCCCGAGGCCCCAAGGGGCTCTCCGCGGCGGCTGCTTGTGCAGGCTCTCCCTGCTGTTGGAAAGCATCTCCCAGCAGGTCCAGGTTCATCCCCCCAGCTTAGCCACGCCGGGGTTGGAGAACAGCCTCTGTCCTGACAGCTCCTGTCCATCACAGGCGCGCTCTGCCCTGCAGCCTGTGAAGCAGCCGCTGGCCAGGGGTGTTGGGGTGCCGCGCCCAGCCTTGGAGCCAAGGCACAGGAGGTCAGTCCCCCACCAGGTCGCATAGCCTGAGGGTGGGTGCCTTCGCAGCGCTCTTGGCTCCCTCTGGGTTGTCCCCTCAGCCCTCAGGGCCTTGGCTCAGAGGTCACGCCCTCGACCTTGGGGCACACAGGGTAGGTTAAGTGTGGGTCCTCGCTCCCCCACAAGACTGGGCCTGCCACAGCCCTGAGTGTGTGGCTCTTTGACCAATGAGGAGCGGGAAGCTGCCTGGAGGAGTGACACACGCATCCTAGGTCTCTGTCCCACTGGTGGAAGAGGAAGGTGGGGAGCTGGGCAGGCAGAGTCCAGCCCTGGGGAAAGCCACAGCTCGGCCTGGCTCTAGCTCCGACTCTGTATGGCCTACACATGCCCCCTCTCTGCGCCTCAACTTCCCTGTCTTTGTCAAAGGGTTCATCAGGTGGCCCTTAAGTGGCCCTGGAGTGACTCGTAAGGCAGGCACCCCTGGATAGTGACTTGTCTGCCCGCCCCACTGGCTAAGGTGCCATTGAGGCCTAATTAACCCATTATGGGGGGGTGGAGCCACCCCGAGAGTGGAACGGCCCGCTGAGGTCACCGGGGACACCACCCTCGGAAATGCCAGCTCCTGCCCTGCCCACAGAGGGACAGGCTAGGGCATGGGGACAAGGACCCAATGCCCTGAGGCCTGGGTGCTCTCCATTGCCTGAGTCAACTGCACATCCGTTCTTCATCTCCCCTGCCTGGTGGCCTCGCCCGCCGCCCCCACAGCCCCTCCTGCCACCAAGGATGCCAGCTGAGGCTGAGCAACTCCCTGGGGCTGAAGCGGGCTTGGCAGGACGGGGCAGCCTGGTTCCCAGCGCTCGCTGAGCCGGGGAGACCGCGGCACGAAGACCACTGGGGGCTTTCACACCTTGATTTATTGCACTTGAACCCTGAGTTCCTCACTGGGCCTTCTGTGTGGTTTTTAGACCGGGTACTGACACACTGCCGTGCTCCTGGTGGCTGCTGCCAGCAGCTTTCTCCAGCTCACAGGTTCACCTGGGGAATGTGGCCACAACAGGTTGCAGTCTGTGGACCTTGGGCCCCATCTACCCTCATCTGGGGGAACAGAGCTGTGGCCTCCTGCTGGCCCCCAAGTCCTCCATTCAAGGCCCACCTGGGTTGGATTCCCCCTGAGGGAGGGGCGCTCAGGCCATGGTCCTTGGCTTGCCCCCGTGTGCCCGGTCCCGGGGGTGGCGGGCTTCGTTGCCTTGTGCAGGGGCGTGCCCTGCAGTGTGGCCTGACACAGCCGCCCGAGGGGAGTTGGCTCCAGTGGTGGCGTGGGGGTCGTCGCCAGCATGGGACTTGGGCGGCTCAGGCGGCTTGAGCGCGCTGACAGCCCGGATGAGGCCCATGCGGCGGCGGATGGAGTGGTCCAGGTTGACGGTGCAGCGCAGCAGGCTCTGCGCCTCCCTCACCGTGAAGGGGAAGTCGGCGCCCAGGAAGCGCTCGAAAAGTTCGGGGTCGCCGTCCAGGTCGAGCACGTTCTGCAACGCCTTGGTCATAGTGTGCAGCTCGCAGCTGTTGTCGCAGAACACGTCCCAGAGGCGCGCGCTGGCCTCGGGCGCGCCCCCGGCCTGCTGCCGGTCCTCCAGGCACTGCAGCGCCCAGCTGAGGCGGCACGGCCACTGGTTGGCCAGCACGACCCACGCCACGGCCTGGCGCGGCGTGGGGCCCCCGAAGCTGCCCTGCTGCTGCTGCAGCAGGCGCACGGTGATGGGCACGGTGTTGACGATGCGCCGCATGGACACCACGTTGTCGGGCACGTACTCGTAGAGGCAGTCGCGCTCGTCGTGCAGGCAGAAGAGCGCCTCCTGGATGCGGCGCGCCGCCTCGGCGTCGATGCGGCCCTGCGCGCGCTCGCCCCCCGCCTGCGTCTCCCCCTCCAGGAGCTCCTCGCCCTCGCCGCCCGCGCCCCCGCACGGCGGCCGCAGCTTGCGCGTCAGCTCGCGGTAGAGCAGGTCGTCGCGGCTCTGCACGGCGTCGTGCAGGAACCGCAGCTTGGTGCGGCGGCCCATGATGGGCACGGAGAAGGGCAGCGTGACGGTGCGGTTGAGGAAGAGGTAGCCGTTGTCGGCCGTGCCCTTCATGGAGCCGGCGCTCTCCAGGCACGCGGCCAGGATGCTGGGGTCCACCACCAGGATGAAGATGAAGGGCGCGTGGCTGTCGGACAGCAGCGTGTTCATGGCGTTGAGCACGCCCACCACGCGCTCAGGGTAGCACGTGTCCAGCCCGGTGACCTCGAGCACGACGCGCAGCCGGCGCCGCTGGTAGATCTCCAGGAAGCACAGGAAGTCGGTGAGCAGCTCCACCTCCTTCTTCACCTCGCACATGAAGCCCAGCTGGCTGCCGAACTTCTCGCGCGACACCAGCCGCTCGATCTTCTTGCGCTGGCTCACGAACAGGTGCTTGCCCACCGAGTACACGGCCATGAGCAGCCCCGAGCCCGACAGCGTGGTGGCCGCGCCGCCGAACACGCGCAGCAGGCTGGCGCCGCCGTGGCCCGGCGCGCGGGCGCCCACCGACAGGTAGAGCAGGCCCACCCCCAGGCACAGCGCGGCCAGCAGCGCCAGCAGCGCCAGGCACACGCGGAGCCGGCAGTGCCACTCGCGCTGGCAGAGGCCCGGCGACGTGCCCGGCTTGTTGCCCAGCACCGAGTACACGCTGAAGGGCAGCGCGCCGTAGTGGTGGCGGATGCCCTCGCACAGCGTGGTCACCAGGCCGGCCCACAGCTTGTCGGTGCCCGCGTACTGCCAGGCGCTGAAGCGGATGAACAGGAACTTCACGTTCTTGCGCCGCAGGTGCACCTCGGTGATGACAGGCCGCAGGAACACCAGGTACCACAGCAGCTGCGGGAAGCCCCAGCCGCGCACCGACCGCGGCCGCCACTGCACGCGCCGCAGCTCCTCGGCCTCGCGCTGCTCCGCCTCCTGCTGCATCAGCGCTGCGGGGGGGGGGGGGGGGGGGGGGGGGGGGGGGGACCGCGTGAGCGGCGGGCGCGGGGGGCGGGGCCTGGATCTGAGCCCGGGAGCCGGGGCAGGGGCGCCAGGAGACGCCAGGAGCCGGGCTTGGGGGCTTGGACCGAAGAGGTCTGAGGGCGAGGCCGAGGGTCGGGGTGGGCAGAAGTCGGGGAGAGAGGGGGCGGGGAAGGCTGTGAGGGATTAAAGGATGCACGCGAGGTGCCGAGGAAGAGAAGTGAGGGGCAGCTAGGGTGTCACAGCCCTGGTCTGAGATTCCTGGCTTCCTGGTCCTCCTCCTCCTCAGGCAGCTCTCAGCTCAGCCCGTCTCCTCCTCCAGGAAGCCCTCCCTGATCCCCAGGCCCTGCCCACTCCGGGTCGTCACTGTCTGGGGACAGGTCTGTCTCCTGCGCCAGACCGTGAGTCCAGGAAGGGCAGGTCCCTGGTTATCTTGGTTACCCGGCGGCCCCTGGGCACGCAGGAAGTGCTGGGGGAACGTCTGAAGGATGGGACCTGAGAGGTTGGAGCAGGATGTGCCTGCTCGGAGGTCGGTGAAGGAGTGAGTGGGCAGGCGTGGGAGTCAGCGGGCACAGAGGAGCTCCTGCGCTGTTTCCTTGTTCCTTACAGCCTAATCTTTCCCCTCCCATGATCCCGTCTGTAGTTGACAACAAAGGGCAGACGTGGGCTTCTTTAGCAGATGCTCAGCAGGGCTCGCACACGGAAATGAGTCACCTCCAGCCCCCTGGCCACCACTGCGGCTGGGGTCTGAGCTCTGGCAGGGTTTGAACCAGGTCCGCCCAGCTGTGGAACCTGGCCAGGTTTCAGCTCCTGTCCTCAGTGAACATCTCTCTGTTGGGGGTCTTGTGGGGGCCAGGGCCAGGGCTGAGGAGAAGAAATGGGTCCCAGGGGGCACAGAGGACAGTAGGGACTTGGCAGGAGCTGGCAGCCTCGGTGAGGAACCTGGTCTTTCTCCCAAGGGTGCTGGGGAGCCATAGAAGGCTTTTGAGCAGGGGAAGGACAGGGCCAGATCTGTATCTTCGAAAGATTCCTTGAAGTGGTTTTGGTGGGGGTGGGGGGTGACACCGGAGGCCAGGAGGCCAGAGAGGAAACTGGAGCAGGGACCCGGGGTCGGAGACCGGGGGCGGGGGGAGGGACCTGGTTAATGCTGACTTTTGGGCACCTGGACTGGGGCAGCCTGGCCTCAGGGGCGAGCTGGTCTTGGAGAAGCCCGGGGCTGGGAGGGACAGAGGCCTCAGTCCCTTCCTCCCCCTCCCCCAGCGCACGCCGATCCTCACCAGTGATCTTGTCCAGCATCATGTGCAGGCGGCAGCCGAAGGAGGCGTAGAAACCCACCGTCACGGGGACAGGCACGTGGCAGAGGGTCTTGGCCAGGCAGCTGCAGTAGACGTCATCCTCTGTCAGGATATCTGGGGGCCGGGGTTGGGGAGGGGGTGGAGGTGGGGAAATGGAGTCAGTGAGGCTGCCTGGGCTCCACCCTCCTCCCCGTCTGCCCTCCAGAGCACCCCCTCAGCCCCTCCCTGCACCGGCTCTCCCCTCCCTGACTCCCCGAGGTGACTCCCGGTCAAGCCTCGGATGAAGGGAAGTTTCTGCGGCTGCCGGCAGCCCCCTGTTCCAGGGCCAGCTGTGCCCTCCTGACCTCCAGGGGGAGCTGAGCCCCAGATCCGCCAGGTAAAGACTGGGAGGCTCCCCCGCCAGGCCCCCACCCAGAGGCCTGTGGGAACTTGGCTGCCCTGGCCCTAGGTCACTAGGCTCAGCCACCAGCCCGTGATTGACCTGGGAAAGTCCCATAGCTTTTCTTGGGACTCGAGGCTCTCAGATGCTTGAGACACCACTTTCCACGCTAGGAAGTTGCACGTGTCAGCTCCCACCTGCCCTGCTAGCCTGGCTCCAGTGTGAACAGCCACCACAGGATCCTCTCAGCTCCCGCCACCCTCACCTGGACCTCTCTCCCTCTGCATGACCCCATGCCCACGAGTCACGAATCCTGCCCGAGCCCAGGCAGACCTGCCTTCTGGTCCTGCCCCACCACGTCCCCCTGTTTTCTCCGCGTGACCCGGGCAGAGCAATGCCTCTGGAAGGCCTAGTCCCCTCTTCTGGAGGGTGGGATGCCAAAGGGTCTGACCAGGGGCGGCCCTCGGTCAATGCCACGTTCCAGAATGGCCGTTTAGGGCATAGATCCCCGCTTAAGTCCCGCACCATGCACCATGCGCAGGCACTACCATGTCTACTCTGCAGAGGGCGCCCTGCCCCGGGGCCCCACTGAGCACCACTCCCTGGGGGGCACCGGGCCAGCCTCACAGTGTGTGATGGGGATGTCACGCCCACTTTCCCAGAGGCCTCATGGGCTGCAGGATCCAGCCCTTATCCACCGAGGGCCGGCCCTAGGCCTGGGGGCACAGCCGGGAGGGCAGGAGGAGGACTGGGGACAAGGTGGGCTGAGGCGGTGGCCCCGGTGGAGCTGACCTGCTCACTGGGGGACTTCACCTGGTTCAGCCTCTACTTCCCTGTGTGTGAAATGGGCTTATGTGGCCCGGAGGCTCCAGAGCAGGGCTGTGTGCCGACCTGGAGCCGGAGTCCCTGCTCAGCTGTGGCTCTGCTTTCCACCCAGACCTGGAAACCGGCCATGTGTCCCCACCTCCGCTGCCACCTCTCTGGTCAGGCCACCAGCACCTCCTACCCGCACTCCTGCTTCCCGCCCTTGCCTCCCATGGTCCATTCCTGCTGCATCCCCACTCAGCTCCCGGCCCTGCCTGCCGCCCTCTCCCGCTCACTCCCTCCGCTCCAGCCACACTGACCCCCTCGCTGTCCTTGAACAGGCCACCTCAGTCTGCCTTTGCTGATGCTGCTGCCCCTTCCTTGGGAGAACCGCCCCATCTTTGCTTATCTGTCGCCTTAAACGAGGCCTCGCCTGATGACCCTATTTAATTTGTAAGCCCCAGTGCTCCCTACCTCCTCTCCCTGCTTTGTCTTTCCCCAACGTGATTATCACCCAGGGACACACTTTTACACTTTCCCTGCTTGTTTGCCATCCCTGTCTCCCCCCACTGCCCGTAGAACATGAGCTCCATGAGGGCAGCCATCTGTCAGCCCTGCACCCTGCTGCCCGCCCCACGAGAAGACAGCTTGGCACCCACTGCAGGCGTCCAGTACTCAGTCGGGGAATGAATGAATGAATGAATGGGGTGCGTGGGTCTCTCTCTTCGCTGTGCTGCTCTCTCCATCCCCCAGGCCGCTCCCTACCTCTTGCTCTCTTGCCCCGTCTCCCCCACACCAGAGCTAGCCAGCAAGCTGGCGCTTGTCACCCCTGCCCAAGTCCTCCGTGGCCTGCTGGGCCAGAGAGGGAGGGCTGGGAAGAGAGAAAGCAGAGCCAGGGTGTCAGTGGAGGGAGACTGCCGGGCTCCGGGCACAGGCCTGGCCCGGAAGCCTTGCATCCCAACAGGTGACACAGAGGCGGCCCCCCTCCCCGAGGCCCAGGGTCAGGGACGAGCGCCCGCCCAGACACGGCCCAGAGCCAGGGGTGAGGAGGGCAGGCCCCAGGCCCGGGTGGGCAGAGAGGCAGCAGGCACAGAGCCAGGGAGACTGGGTGAGCACCGGAGCTGTAGGAGGTGAAGAGGCCGAAGGCTGGTGGGGCAGGCAGGGGCCGGGCGGCAGAGGGCCGGCTGGGCTGCAGGAGGGCGCCGGCGGTAGAGCGCAGGCCGGGGCTGCTGCTGGCCGTGGCGGGTGCCGCGGTGGCTGAGGTGGTGGGCGCGGGGGGCAGCTGGGGGGCGCTGGCCGGTCCCATGGGGGCAGTGGCGGTTGCAGGCGGCCCCTTCTGGGCCCCGTGAACCGGGCAGAGCCGCTGCCGCAGGGGGCTGGGAGGTGGAGGCTGGGGCTGCCACTGCTGCTGCTGCAGGATGGGGGGCAGGGGGGCCCTGACACAGCCCTCCTGGCTGTGGTAGGCCAGCTGCCAGCGCACCTTGGGGGGTGGCCGGCAGGGCCTGTGGGCTCCAGGGGCCGCTGGGTCACAGCACCTCTGGTGACAGCATCCTGGAAGGAAGGAAGTGGGGTGACTGGGCCTGGGTCCTGGCCCCTGGAGGGCACTGGCAGGAAGCAGGCCAGGTCTTCAGGTGGAGGCTGGGGCTGATCCCTCAGCTGAGGCCCAGAGAAGTCAGAGAAAAAACGAGGAGGGGTGGGGGGCGGCGGGGCTCTGTGCTTTCCCACGGGTGGGGGAACAGGTGCAGGGGCTGGAGAGGGGCGATGCCCTGGCCACCCCAAAGTCCTCAGTCCTTGGGGGGGGTCCCCACGGGGGTGGACTGAGAGGGATCCATCGGGAGCTGACCTGGTTGGTCTACAGGAGGCTGGAGCGATGGGAGGTGGCCGTGGAGAGGGGACAGGGTGGGGACTGGGAAGAAGGAGGGTGGGCCCGAGCCCAGAAGGCTGAATCGGCCCTAATGGGAGGTAACTGCCCCCTCCCCACCCCGAGCACCCGCCATCACAGCCTCACTCATACACACTCAGTAGGGGGGGGCTCCCTCTCCCACCCCTCCTTCCCACCACACTGCTCCCCCCAGAGTGGGGGGCAGTCTCCGCATGCCTGGCAATTTGCAGCAGGGGAACTCTTCCCACACTGGGGGAAGCGGCAGGCCAGCTGGGCATCCCCAGCCCAGGCTCCCACCTTTGGCCCCCCACAGGCCTGTAGTCCCCCCCCTGCCTGTGACCTCTGTGCAGAAGCCTCTGTGGGGGTCCTGGTGATGCTTCCTTCCTGAGGTTCTCTTTCCACTCCCCCATCCACTCAGCAGCCCCCACTCACAGGCCTCTCCCCACCAGGAACCCCCCAAACTGAACCCCTACCTTTTTGGTGCCCCAACTCCGGGTCCAAGAAGTAGCACTCGGTGGGGGTACCGGGGGGCAGGGCACCCTTGGCAAAGTGGACCGTGTAATGCTTGTGCATGGTGGTGGGGGGCCTGCTGGGGGGAGGGAGAGAGTGGGCTCAGCACCCAGCCCCCTCGAGCACCAGCGGCAGAGAGCCCACCCCCAGGACGGCTCCCTGTGACCTGGGACAGTGAGAGACCGTGTCCACCAGCTTGGGGTCCTGGCGAGACCCCAGTAAAAGGGAGAGGTTGGGAGGGAGGACGGATGAAGGATGGAGAGCGGCTGTGGGGGTCGGGGGCTGATTTGAGGTGGGTGAGACGGACTGTTTAGGAGCGCCTGGGAGTTCCTAAGAGGCCAGGACAATGGGGTGCTGAGCCGATGTGGGCTGGGGTACCGTGGGAGCCAGCAGGTGGCTGGGTAAAATTCGGGGGGATTAGGTATTGGGGGGATGCGCCGTGGGAGGGGAGGGCTGGTGCCGTTTGAAGGGACGTGAAAGCAGCACGCTGGGAGCCGGGGGCAGCGAGCAACGGAGTGGCTGAAATTTCAGGGCTGGGGATATTCGGGGACTGAATGAGGGGATGGAGGGAGGGGAATTCTGGGGGAGCAAATGGAATCGATGGTGCAATTTGGGGAGAGGCTCAGCGAACTCGGGGTGAGATGGGTGCACTGGGTTTAAAACGCAAAGAGCCAAGAGCAGAAGGGAGGAAAGGATGCTGTCCGGAGGGCGGGACAAGTGAGGCCGAGGGGCAGGGGAAACTCAGGGGGTGAGGGTCTGGGCTCAGTGGGGGCGGGGGATCCGGCGTGTGGCCCCTGCAAGCCGCCCTCCCCCCCGGCCTGGGGTCCCCCGTACCTGATGGCAGCCTCGCGGCCCCAGCTCCCTGCCGGCTGAGCTGCTGTACCTGTCCTCCGCTGTCAGCGCAGGCCCGACTGCTGAGGCCCCGGAGCTGGGAGTCGAGCTGCCCGACCGGTTTGCCCGTCCTGTCCCCGCCCCTTCCCCAGAAAGCCCGCCCTGTCCTGTCCCGTGCTCTGCTCTCGAGGACTGGGGGCTGCACCCCGGGTAAGGGATGGGGATGGTCGGGCGGGAGCTGCCGGAAGGTCTACGGGGCCAGCCCCTGGGCACTTCTGCGGTGGGAGGGCAGGAAGCTGGGATGCAGATGAAGAGCCCAGGATCGAGAGAACAAACAGTACCTGGTTCAGATGCCAGCTCCTCCAGGGCCCAGCTGTGTGACCTTGGGCAAGTGACTTCACCTGTCTGAGCCTCAGCTTCCTCATTGCTGAGCAGGCCGGTGTCGAGGCCCGCCTCTCAGAGTTGTCAGGAGTCTGCTGAGCATAGGCTGGCACTGGGCAGCGACAGCGGTGGCACCTGCCGGGCTGACTGACCCACTTGCTAGGCTGCTCTAGATGCTTCACGTGTCACGACAACGACACACACGATGAACGCTTCCCAGGAGTCACGCACAGTGGCCACGCTTTTCCTGCAGTAGCCCCGTCCTTCCTCGCCCTGCCCCCGTGCCAGGGGTGATGCCCACTTTGCAGATGAGAGACCGAGGCCCGGAAAGGTGTGGTCCTTCGCACCAGGTCACGGGGAGGCAGAGCGGGGCTCTGGAACAGGGAGTGGTGGTGCTCTGCCCGCTGCCAGCTGAGTGTGTGTAGGGGGCTACCTGCAGACCTCCTTGCAGAGGTGAGGGCAGGGAGGCGGCCTCCGCTCTGCAGGGTCCTGTCTCTCTGCAGCCCGGGGAGAGGGGTGACCTGATGGCGATGGGGAGGCAACCAGAGAACAGCACCTAGGACAAGCCTCAGGACAGAAGGGGACCCTCTGGCCCTCTAGGACACCCCTCTGGGGGTCCCACCCGGGTGACCGAACACTGCCTCTGTAGCCAGGGCTCGGCCCCCTTCCCTCCCTGGGTCCAGGCCTGTCTCTCCTGCCCCAGGCCTTCAAGCCACTTCTCCTGGGGAGGCTTCCTCCTTGTCCTCCACCAGTTCGGGACTGTGTCCCCCGCGCCGAGCAGCCCCCACCACCCAGGCCACCAGGGAGGCAGGGCCGGTGCGCCTGAGTAGGGGAACCTCCAGGACGGGCCCATGAGCTTCTCGAGGGCAGCACTGGGCCGGTCCCCCACTGCCCATGTGCACAGTGTAGCTAAGCAGCCACAATTCATTTGGGAAACATCTGCCAGGCTCTGCACCGGGCAGCGCCACCACCCAGAGGAGGGATCCTGAGGGACCCAAGAGGAAGTGCGTCGGAACATAAACAAGTCAACACCACAGGGCAGGAGGCTGGGCAGGAGTCCGCCCAGGGCTGCAGGCACAGAGCCCGTGAGTAACCCCTGCAGTGGGCGCGGAGGCCAGCAGAGGCCATGACTACTGGACAGGAAGAGGGAGCAGAAGCTTGGAGAGTGGGTCAGGGTGGGTGGCCCAGCAGGGAACATGTGTGCAAAGGCACCAAGGCGGGCCAGGGAACAGGGACCTGCTGTGTGGGCTGGGAGGGGCAGGCCCAGGCAGGGCCCGACGGGCAGTCTGCACTGAACTCCGCAGAGGCTGAGGAGCCCCCATCCCTGGGGGTGTTTTAAGCAAGGAGACCCTTCGTCATCCCATGCAGGTCTCACTCCAGCCTTGCTTGTCAGCTCTGAGGGGCTATTTACCCACGTCACGCAGCAGGTGGCAGGGCCCAGGTGCGGGATGCCCCCAGATGCTATGAATGTAAACAGGGAGGGGGTGGGGGGAGTGAGGGCAGGGAGGCCACACTGTCCAGGGACCAGTCAGCTGGGCCACTGTTCTGGGTATGACTCTCATCTGCCAGGCACGTGAAATGTGTATGCAAGTGTGTGTGGGGGGAACGAGGGTGTCTGGCCCATTTTCCCTCTCCGTCCGTCCTTGAGTCCTGGCAGCCCCCTGCCCTGCTCCCTGGGGAGAGGTCCATTCTGTGCACCCCGCTGGGCAGAAGGCAGCCCCAGGCTTGTTGACACTGGGGGGGCCACCAGTGCCGGGGCCACTGTCCCCTAGCCAGGGGTGCAGCAAGCTCCCGGGTTCAGGCCGTGGGCTGCGGGTGGAGGGGGCCCGGAAGGGGAGGGAATGACGGGTGGGGAGCCCCACAGTGCTCTGCTCCCCCACCCCACAGTGGGACCTGTGACAGTCACTTCAGACACCCCGTCCCCCCAGCACTCTCAGAGTGACCCCCAGCTTCCACGTTAAATCTGGCTCCACATACAAAAGCTTTATTGAACATCTGCTGTGCAGAGTGACCCGATGGGGGATCCTGGCACACGGGCCCCAACTGAGGCCGGGGCCACCTTGCCCCCGGGACACCCCCACCTCCCGAGGAGACCCACTTGTTGAGCACCTGTGACGCCTTGAAGCGGCTGGACCCCCTGCCTTGCTCGTTCCCCCACAGCCTGGGGTCCCTAGCATCAGCTCTCTGGCCACCTCCAAAGGCAGCAGCCCGGGGTCCCTGGGCCAGAGGCGGCTGTGAGGCTCAGCTGGGGGTGGGGGCCTGGGGCTGCTCAGGATTTCTGGATCACCACCTGGAACTTACCTGGAAGAGAAGGGCTGGCATTAGCTTGAGGTTGGCATGTGAGGGGAGAGGCAGGAAGCGCCCCGACAGCTCAGAGCTGTTTGTCTGTTGGGCTGGGCCTCAGTTTCCTCACTGGTCATGGGGGGTGATGCTCCCCACCCACCTGGCCTGCATCCTAGGGCTGTGGGTAACTAGGGGCACAAAGGCCAAGCATCTGGGCCACAGGGAGGGGCCTGGCACGGGCCTCTGTGGTATGCTCAGGTCCTGCCCACTTGGGCCCCAGATGCCCCCATGAGGGGGCCTCGGGACCGGCAGAGGGGAAGACAGCTGGGGGGAGGGGCAATGGAGGGCAGAAGGACACCCCGTCAGGCGGGTTGCAAGTTCTCCTCATCAGAGCTCCAACCAGGGTGACTTCTCTGACATCCCCCTGGGTTCCTGCGCTGGGAAGAATGTTGGAAACCACAAGACTGGCTCACCCCAGGGAGGCAGGCTGGAGGACACCTGGGGCCGGTGCATGGATGGGCCGCACCAGCCGTGTGGCCTGGGCATGTGATGTGAGCTCTCTGAGCCTCAAATTCGCCCCCTGTCAAGTGGGGCTCGGCAGTCCAGCCCCACCTCCCTGGCACGCGGGAGCCAGGAAGGAAAGCTCTCGAGCCCTGCCACTCCCGCGGGATGGGCGCCATCCCCACCTCCCCGACTCACAGGCAGGCAGGGCTGCCACGGAGGCGGTGACCAGGCTCTTGACGCCCAGGGTGCAGAGGGTGCCACGCAGGAGGCCGCAGGTGAAGGCCAGGAACTGGGGGCGGGGGGCACAGGTCACTGTGGGAAGAGGGAGCCAACACCCAGGACCGGGGCCACGCTGGGCTTCGGGCTTCACAGTGCGGCCAGTCCTCTCCCTGGGCCCTGGGCCTACCCTGGGGTGGGGGCTGGGTAAACAGGGGGAGTGAAATGGCGGGGGGCTCCCAGCACCCCCATACCTTGGGTGCTTCCTCCAGATACTGCAGGCCCGAGGCCATCCGGATGAGGAGGGGGAAACTGTTGTCCTGCAGGACGTAGGTCCCCTGGGCAGAGGAGAAGCCTGTGGGGGTCTGTGCATTTGTAGTGGGGGGCAGGGAAGCCAGGACCCAGCACCCCCGCCCCCCCAACATTGGGCTGAAGTCTGGAAGGACCCCTCTCTCGAGACCACTGTGGCAGGGGCCCATGCTTCAGCGCCGCAGAGGGCCAGGGCTCCCCACGCTAGGCCCGGTGTCCGCCCCCGCCGTGTGCTGGCCCTGCCCCCTGGCCGCACGACTTGCCAGGTGAGAAGCTGCAGGCCCAGCCGTGAAGCGGCCAGTGTGGGGCCGGGCACAGTGTGGGCGTCTAATGGGAACCCGAACCAGGCTGAGACAAGCAGTGTCACGCCGGGACAAGATGCTGCCAGCCACGGGACGCCTTCTGCCGGCTCTGGGGCTCCACCTTGGGAGGCTTGTGGGAATCTGGAAATAGCCTTGGTGCCCCGTTGTAGCCTCCCAGCCCCCCTCAGAGGACTGGACAGAGGCCCCAGGAAGAGCTGTGGCTGCCGATGGGACAGCCGGTTCCTGCCTCCCAGCTTCTGGCAGGCCCCACGGGCGGGCTGGGCCTGCTGCAACCTCCCTCCGTGGGGGTGGCCCCTCGCGGGTGCTCCTGGGTTCCCACCCCTGCTTGTGCTCAGGAAGCCGGGGCCCGGGTGCATGCACACACCTGGTGGTTGGTGCGGAGGCTGTCCATCTGCTTCTGGAACACGGCCATCCACAGGTCTTTGCACAGGAACTTGAGGATGTCCAGCTCCTCCCTGTAGGCCAGCGTCTCCCGGGACAGCCTGGGGGGCAGCGGCAGACACTTGGGCCAGGCCGATGCTGGGGGGTCGCCGGGCCAGGCTTGAGGAGCCCAGGGTGAGGAAGAAGGAGGAAGCCAGGCTGGGTTCCTGCATGAAGCAATGCCACCCTCCTTGCCCAGGCGCGCCCAGGAAGGGACCCAACCTCGGTCCTGCCCATCTTCAGCCAGTGGGGTGGGGGAAGGACAGGAGGGGTGAGCTCTCACCTCTCGCCCAGGGCCTGGCCCACACGGAAGCCCATGCCCTCCAGCACAGACAGGCTCATATTCTGTCCCTGGAAGGCCAAGGAAGAGAGGCTCAGGGGCCCTCGGCCACCTCCAACTGGGAGCCACCTGGTGTAGCAGCTGCAAAGGGGACTCCAGGGCCAACATGCCCATCCCTGCGAGTCGAGGGGCGAGGAGACCCCGGAGGGAGAGCCTTCCTGCTTGGCCAGCCAGGACAGGCTCAGGTCTTTGCAGAGGCAGGCTGGCCCTGCCCCTCTGCCCTGGGACACCTGTCCTCCTCCTGGGCCCTCTGAATCCCCATGCTCCCACCCCATCAGGCCTCAGGACCAGCTCCCCTTTGCTCCTGGAAAAATGGGGGTCTTCCCCAGGCTCAGTTTCAGTCAACTGTCTCCTGATAACACCCCTCACCCTCACTTAGTGTAAGCACTTCCAGGGTGTATGTCTAGGAGAAGGTCGGGCACACCTGGGTGGGCAAGCAGAGGGGAGGCAGGTGCAGAGCCCGGGGAGGGAGGCAGCTCTGTGGGGGTGGGGGCCCGGCCGACCTTCCGCACACACAGGGCTCCGCACCCAGGAGGACGGGAAGCGGATGCTGAGCAAGTGGCGGTCGGGACTCGAGCGTGCCGCTGCTCTCTGTGAACCTGTGTTGGATTTAACAACCCCATAAAGCAGGCTGCCTTTCACACCGGCGCCTGGGCCTCTGAGCGGGCAGGTAAGCCTGCCACACGCACCATCTGCCGCGGGGCTGTCTCTCAGCCCCAGCAGGTCGGCTCCCAAGCCTGGACAGCCAGGTGGGTTGGTGGCCGGGACGACACCCACAGCTGTCTCGGCCTCAGAGAGGTGGCACAGGCTGGGGCTTGCCTGGCGGGCGGTGCCAGGAGCAGGGAGATCGGAGCAGAGGCCACCCGTGTTTCAGAGCAAGGTGCCCCTGTCCTCTGCCAGGTCACCTGGCACCCAGGCCCCCGCCCGCCATTCCCTGTGCCTCCTGCGGGCCGGGCCTGGGCCTGGGTGACGACACGGCCACCCGTTGGCCAACCCTGGCGGGCTCTTGCTCTGCCCCCGGTGCTCCCCTGGCTTCCTCAGGCACAGGAGGGTCAGCTGCACGGGGAGGGCTCCGGGGGGCTCTGATGACTAAGGACATGCGGGCCATGAGCTTGGTGTGTCAGAGACAGTGAGGGAAACCTGTACCCAGCGGCTGAGTGCAACGTCCGGAGCCAGACCAGCCCCTGACACCTGCCAGCTGTGGGGCTGGGGCGGTGGCTAACTGCCCTGTGCCTCAGTTTCCCCATGTGTTAACAGCATTATGGCCCAGGGGTCCTATGAGGATTAAAGGAGTTGGTAAACGCAAGCCAAGCACTCAGTCGGGCTCAGGCAGTGTTCTCAGCATCAGTCACAGCCCCTGTGGCTGTCAGCCTTGGTCACGGGCCCCCTGGGGGACAGGGGCTGAGGTCCTGGGCTGGGAGAAAGACCCCACGAGGGAGGGGCACTGTTTTGTGGTTGACGGACCTCAGCACATAGAAGGCTGCCCGGCCCTTGGCCAGCCTTCTTTGCGTGGTGGCTGCCGCTCCGGTGTCACCCACCTAGAGAAGAGCTCCTGGAGGAGGCAGGACGGGGCTCCACTCTGACCCAGGGCATCTGTGTCCCTGAGGACCTCCCAGTGTGACCACGAGAAGCCAGGGCTCCCTCGTTCATCCCCCTGGGAGCTTCCCTACCCAGCCTGATGGGCTGACAGTGCCCAGGTGATGGCCACCCCCCTGTGCGGGGAACCGGGCAGCACAGAGCAGCAGGGCCAGTTCCACCAGGAGGGTGGGGGGACAGGAAGGGGGGTGTTCCAAGCAGAGGGTGTGTGCGAGGGCAAGGAGGCAGGAAAGAGCGGACTGGCTGGAGGGAGAATGCAGCTCAGGCCATGGGGGGGCACTGGGGAAGGGGAGGGGCCCCCGTGACGCAGGCTAAGGAGGGGGTGTTTCCCCCGTGTGGCAAATGCTGCCTGAACGTTCTCAATGCGGGCCACGGCAGGGATGGTGCAGACAGCCCCGCCCCAATGGAGCTGGCCTTCTGGGGCGAGCAAGGCATGATTCCATCACGGTCATGGGCTGCCAGGACGGAGACAAGCCGTGTGGTGACGGGGCTCCAGGAGGGGCCGAGTCTGCGCAGAGTCTGAGGGAAGAGGAGCTAAGCGGGGGAGAGAAGGGACAGCAGCCCCGAGAGGGGACAGCTAGAGAGTCAGCGGGCCCTCAGCCAGGTTGGGAGCTCCGAGAGGGGTGTGGGAAGGTTTCCCTTCAGTGACTTCGGACTGCCTGGGTTTGAGTCCTGGCTCCACCGCTGACTGGATGCGTGACTTTGGGCAAGCTGTGTAATGGCCCCGGGCCTCGGTTTCCCCACACGTGAAATGGAGCTGACAGGAGTCACTACCTCACCGTGGCAGTGTGACTGGCACCCGGCAACAGCTGGAGCCACAGCTGTTGTTACCTCTCACCCCTGCGTACCAGCCCTTGACAGGGGCCAGCTAAAGATCTCCTGAACTGAAAGACTGGGCGTCTGGGGAGATGGACTCATGAGAACAGGGAGGGCAAGGTGGGAAGAGAAGAGGCGAGCACGAGCAGGTGACGGGGAAGAGAGGGTGGAGGAGGAAGGGAGTGGATGCCTCAGCTGCTTCAGCATCTCTGGGCACAGCTGAGTTTACACAACAGCCCAGTGAGAGGAAGCGAGATAAGGCAGCGATGGAGGGGAACCCCCTGGAGAAGGGAGATGGGTGTTGGCACTGATGGCGCGTCCAGCCAGTGCGGCGCTAGGAGGAAGACACAACGGACGGAGGTGAAAAATGGGGCAGCCAAAATCAACATCTGTTAACAAGGGAGCTGAAAACGGACAGATCTGTATGGTAAATCATGCCTTTCAGATCGTCAACAGAAAACACGAGGCTGAGAAAAGGAGAGAAAAGTTGTAGGACACTTGAAGAGATCCACTAAGTCTAATATCCATCAGAGTGTCAGAAAGGCACGGGCGGAACAAGGCAGGAGAGGAAATACTCAGAGGTGATCAGAGACGACTGTGCTGAGCTAAAGGCAGATTCAGGCTTCAGACTGAGAAGGGTCACAGGGCTCCGAGGAGGATGGATGGAGGACGAGCAAGCCGAACTTGCGCTCCACACACATCCTGAGCACGTGACTCGGAGGAGAGGGCGTCCTGGGCTGAAGCAGGAGGGCGTTGAGTGGGGGCTGTGATTGTGCCCTGTCCCTGGTTATCTGTGAAGTCCACCCCCACTCATGGGACCACTCCGTGCAGCCCAGGGCGGGGCGCAGGGAAGCAGCAGCCCTGGTTCCTGCCTGAAGCACAGGGAGAGGGGACGAGTTCTCGGCTTCCCCAAGGGGAGCGGCCTCAGAAGACCCAAAAGTAGAGGGAGACAACACGGGATTGAGGATGAGTGAGGGGGCAGCCAGCCTGCCTATCCCTGTCACCCTGGACTCTCCCCCCTCATCCGCCCAGGGGTCCCGCCTTCTCCCCTGACACTCCTTCCAGAGCCCGCCCGTCCTCCCCCCTCCTCCACCCCTCCACTGGGCCTGCCCTCGCCTCGGCTCTGGGCTCCTGCAGCAGGAGGGCCCACCCCACCCCCATCCAGTCTCATTCATGTGGCCAGGGAGGTCCTTCTAAAGTCTGAGCCCCACACACCTCAGTTTAAGCCTTCCATGGCTCCCCACCCTCAGGACAGAGCCCCAGTTCCAGGGCCGGCCCATGAAGACCCTGCCGCGGGCCCCCTCCAGGGCTCTGTCCCCGCTGTCCACTCTACCAGGAACCCGTGGCTTTCCCCGACTCGTGCCTGCCCGAGGACAAGGACTGTGTCTGACAGCCACTCCACCACCGCAGGCCTCCTGAGAGAAGGGCCGGCGTGGGCACTCCTGGGCCTTGGTGGACGAAAGCCCAGCCAGCAGGGCTGTTCCCGGGCTCCCTGCAGGCTCACAGTGGGGGGCAGAGCGACCAGCTCCTTTCCCACAAGCTCCCCTTGTCTTCCCAGCTTCTGAAGTGGAGAAACCACAGCCGCCTCCTCTGCCTCCTCCCGGAGCTTTTACTGCTTTGATAACAAAGGTCAAAGGCTCGTCTGACCAGTCTGCCATTCAAGCGCTAACCGTCCAGGAGCATCCATCCAACAGCCACAGATAAGCAGCGAACTGAACCGGGCAGGGTACGGAGCTCGCCAGAGCCAGCACGGAATGACGACCGTGGCTCCTGGGCGCCCGTGCCGTGGACACAGAGACGGACCAGCCAGCGTCCCTGTCCTCGAGAAGCTCTGGGGCTGGTGGAAGGGGCACACCCGGTGCCACAGACAAGCTCTGGAGCCGGAGGCCCGAGTCCTGATTCTGCCTCTGTGTGGCCCGGGGAAAGCCCGCCCTCTCTGTTGCCTCAGTCCCTCCTCTGTAAAATGGGACAGCAATATTTACATCGTGGGGCTGTTCTGAGGACTAAATCAGATGAGATACTGTGCTGGGGATACAATACGTTCCCAAGAAACAGGAGGCCTGCGTTTGCGTCAGACAGGACACTTGGACCAGAGAGAAGGAAGAGAAAATGGAGGAGGGGCCAGGAGCAGACAAGAAAGGACTGAGACAACGAAGCCATTTCCCACAACAGGCCCCTGAAAAATGGGGCTCCCCAGCCCCGAGAAGTGTGAGGGAACTGCCACGGTCCCCTCGCCTGGCTGCACCCGGAACCCCCGGGGGCTCTGTGAGGCCGGACTTCCCGGCCCTGTTCCGTTGGCATCTCTGGCCCCCAGCCTCGGATTCCGGTGGCAGCCGAGCAGAGCCACCGGCCGAGTCACAGTCCAGTTCATGTGCGCCAAAAGCCCTGGGCGAGCACGCCGAGCAACCCGGTGTTTCCCACACTTGCTTGACCACAGAATCCCATTAAAATGGTCCCGGAGAGTGTCAGGGAAGACACGCTGTGGGAGACGCAGGCGATTTACAGGAGAGCCTTCAGAAGCGGGAGGCCTGTTCCCTTCCTGACCCTGCCACTTGAGAGCAAGCACTCCATCATCAAAGCCTCAGCTTCTGCATCTACAAAGTGGGGCGGACCTGCCCACCTCTGTGGTTTGTGAGAAGGATCTAATGAAATCAGGAGGGGGAAGCCCGTGAGAGCACGTGGCAAGGACTTATGGTAAGTGCTATCATTGGTCACAGTACTAAATGAACGCCAGTCCCCACCGCCACCTTCCACAGCAGGGGAGCTGCATCCACTTCAACAAATGCACACCAAGGGCCTACCGTGTGCAAAGGACCTACTATGTGGTGATCAACACAGACCCAGTCCCGGCTCACACAGTGCGCAGTCTGGCAGGGGAGACGGATCTGAATCAAAGGATCGTTCAGATACGTACTTATGGAGTGTGACAAGGGCTACCAATGAGAAGCTGGGGAGGGGGGCTGAGGGCATGTACAAGGACACCCGACTTCCACTGGGGGCTCAGGGAAGGCTTTCCTGAGAAGGAAGGGCATTCGAGCCAAGATCCGAAGAATGAACAGGTGTGAATGCCGTGAAGAGGTGACGGGTGAGATGAGCTGGGGGATGAGGGAGGAGGGGCCGGGGCCAAGGCAGGGGAGGGGAGAGATGGGAGACATACTTAGACAGCAGGACAGGCAGGGCCTGGTTGAGGGCTGGAGCGGGGAGAGAAAAGGCAGATGTCGGGGACTCCTGGGTTTCTAGGAGTGCCTCGCCATGCTTTAGCTTTCTCCCAGCATCTTCCCGGGGTACCTTCCACTTTACTCGTTTGTCTTAGTTGTCTGTCTCTCCACTACCACATGAGCTCCAGAAGGGCAAGGATTTCTGTACGGTTCCTCGAGTAAAGCCCAGAGCCTAGAGCAGGGCCTGGCGCCTTGCAGCTTTTAGTGACAGTTTGTTGAATGAATGAACTCGGAAAAACTATTTGGAGATGATAATAAGCAACACTCTCCTTAGGGTTGAAATTGGGAAGAAAACCGAAGCCAATAAAAATGTCCTGCATAAGGATGATGATGTAAGAACAATGAAACAGGTGACAACAGCTCCTGTTTATTGAGTACCTCCTCCCTCCCTCCTTTCTTCTTGGTAACTGATTTTATAACAAGAGCTCCCCGGGTTTGAGGGCCGATTACGTGCCAGACGTCGCCTGAAGTGCTTTAAAGTCTGAGCTCATTTGTTCTTCATAAGGACCGGCTTCTAAAATGCCAAGCATGCCCTACCTCAGGGCTTTGCACCTGCTGTTCCCTCTTCCTGGAATGCTCTCCGCCCCCCCCCCCCCCCCACCAGCCCTTTATCCACGAGGCTTGCTTCCTCCATTCTCTTCCGCAGAAAGGCTTTTCTCCACCATCCCCCACTCCATCCCTTTTCTTTTCCTGACTCTACTGAAGTTTTCTTTCTAGAACTTCTAACTAGCCGGTGGTATAGGATGTTATTTGTTTGTCTGACTCCCCTACGACCCTTACGAAAACGTAAGCTTCGCGAGGTGAGGGAAACTGCCTGGAATACACGCGGCGCTCATTAAGCTTGTTGAATGAATACATGTCTCACTATGAGTCTGAGGTGCTGTTACGATCCCATTTGACAAAGAAGGAAACTGAGGCACACAGAGATTGAGTCACCGGCTCTTATACTCAGTGGCGCGGGCGGGATTCAACCCAGACAGTTAAGTCCTCAGTACACATCCAGTAAGAGTAATGACTGTCATTACTACCCGCCTACCCGGGGCCAGGCCTGGTGCTAAGGGCTTTCGCAGAGCTGTCTCGCTCGAGCCCAGCAGTGACCCGCGAGCCCAGCCCCGCGGCGACCCCGCTTCACAGAGGACGAGCCAGCTCCCGAGGTCGCCCAGCAAGGCAGGGCCGGGGTTCCGCCCTCCCCGGGGCCTCGATCCGGCCTTCGCGCCGCGGCCCGCTCCTCCTCCCCCGGGGCCCCGGCGCTCACCCCGGGGCCGGAGTCGGGATCATGCGCCCACAGTTCCGCCACCATCTCCGTGTGCAGAAACTCGAACAGCACCGCGTCCGCCATGCGCCGGCCTCCCGCGCCTAACGAGCGCCCGGCGCTTCGCGCTCTCATTGGCCCGGGTGGGCAAGCCCCGCCTCCTGCGTCTAGGCGCGACCCCGCCTACTCCTGCTTCCATTGGTGTTTCAGACTAGCCCCGCCTCCCTCCCCCTGGCTCACGCGGGGCGCGCGTGAACCTGGGAGACCAGGGGGAGGGTCTACGTCGTTCATTGGCCACACGTGACGGTATCCCCGCCCTTCCCTCCGTCTCTTCCCTGTTTCCGGGTCCTCGAGCATTTCCATTGGCCGAGGCACCGGTTACCCGTGACACAGCTCGTTTTTCAAAATTCCTATTTGTCCGCTCGCCTCGCGTTCAACCCGGAAGCGCCAGCCCAACTGCTTTCCTATTGGCCCTGCCTACATTCACGTGACTTCAGACACGCCCTCAAAGCCGGTCCTGAGGACTTGCTTCCTGGTTGATAGCCAAGCGGCCCACGTGATTGGCCGCCACCGCCCGCTCCCCCTGCTCCCCTATTGGTTGGGGCTGCCTCTCTCCATCTCCCTCGGTGAAGACGCCGCGTTTCTGCTGGGTAGCGGATCCCGCGGCTTCGGAGCTTCGGTGACCCGGTACGGCCTTGCGGGATGGCGCTTTCCCCACGCCCCCACTAATGCACCCTCCCCAGAGTGCAGCCGGACTGTCACCCTTTCTGTGACCCTGGCACTGGTCCCTTGAGCAGCCAGGGAGCCCGTGTGCTTCCGCATCTGACACCAGCTTGGAGGACAGTGTTGTAGGAGGCAGCATCGGAAAGAGCTCAGTCTGGGTCTCTGGGAGATCAGGCCTCAGAGCCTTAACCGAGCTGGTCCTCAGTTTCCCCATCCGTACAAGGAAGAGGCTGGGGTCCAGGAGCCCCCACCATCACAGGCAGGGATGATGAGCCCTGTTTACCTAGGAGGAAACTGAGGCCCAGGCAAGGGAAGCAGACGGCCCCAAATCGCTGATAGTCAGTGGAGGGGCTGGGAACCCACCCCCTGCGCCCTTTACCCACCGCCGCGCGCCCGCCCCTCATGCCGTCCCTCCGCTCCTCTCCCCCTTAGCTCGGCGCATGGCGTCCCAGGGTCGTCGGCGGAGGCCGCCGCGGAGGCCCGAGACGGTGGTGCCGGGGGAGGCGGCCGAGACGGACTCGGAGCTCTCCGCGTCCTCATCGGAGGAGGAGGAGCTGTACCTGGGCCCCTCGGGCCCGACGCGCGGCCGCCCCACGGGGCTGCGGGTGGCCGGGGAGGCCGCGGAGACCGACTCGGAGCCGGAGCCGGAGCCGACGGCCGCGCCGAGGGACCTGCCTCCGCTGGTGGTGCAGCGGGACACGGCGGGGGAGGCCTGGGCCGCGGAGGAGGTCCCGGCGCCCGCCCCCGCGCGCTCGCTGCTGCAGCTCCGGCTGGCCGAGAGCCAGGCGCGGCTGGACCACGACGTGGCGGCCGCCGTGAGCGGCGTGTACCGCCGCGCGGGCCGCGACGTGGCCGCCCTGGCCGGCAGGCTGGCGGCCGCCCAGGCGGCGGGGTTGGCGGCGGCCCACAGCGTGCGCCTGGCACGAGGGGACCTCTGCGCGCTGGCCGAGCGCCTGGACATCGTGGCCGGCTGCCGCCTGCTGCCCGACATCCGCGGCGTGCCGGGGACCGAGCCGGAGCAAGACCCGGGACCGCGGGCCTAGCCTTGACCCACTGCACCGCTGGACTCTGCGCCCTGGGGATAGGCCTTGCGGCCTAGGACCTGGCTTCGTACCCTGTGAAGCCCCCTCGCATCTCCCTGTCACTCTCAGGACTAACCCCGCCCCCTGTATAATACTGTGTGTCAGGTGGATAATGTGTTCATCTTCTGGCGCGTAGCCCAGCCCTGCCCTGCCCCTTGCATCTGTTCCTTCCTCTGGTCCTGGCCCTGCTCCCTGGTTCCGAGCCTGTCTCTAAGGCTTGGCTCCAGCCCCTGGCTAACTAGCCGCTCCTTGATGTGTCTCCATCCTGGGGCTCCGTGCTCCACCTTTTCCTTGCTCTCTGCCTGTCTGAGTTTGCTTTCTTCCCACAGGAATCCCAGAATCACGGCAGATTCCCTGGCATCTTCCTTCACTCCCTTGGCTCTGCCTCCCATGCTAGCTCCACTTCTGGAATTTTGTCCCGCTGGGCTGGGCCCTTTTTCTGCTCCCCTGGCTTGGTTCTGTTTCCCTCTCCTCGTTCTAGTTCTTGCTCTGCCGTCTCCTGGCTCCTCCTCAGACTTAGCTCCAATCCCTCGGCCTGATCTTGTATCCTGGATCCAGCTGTCCCCCTAGGATTGGTTTTGCTTCTTTTTGCTTTTCGCATCCTGCTTGGACTACCTACCTGATCCGGGGCTCCAAAGGCCCCCTGTGGTTTCCTTCCTCAGGCCCAAGATGAGGCCCCCTACCGACCCAAAGGGGTGGTCCTCCTGACTCTCCAGGACCAGGGTGGCACCCTTCAGGTACTCAGGGCCCAGTACAGCCCTGCCCTGGTACTTTGGACGCCAGATGACAGCCCTTTGCAGATAAGGATCACATGCCTGGTCCGTGCATGCTAAACCCCTGGATCTGTCGGCCCCTGCATGCTAAAAGGACTTGGATTTCTGAATTGTGTCAGTGTCGGGGCTTAGCTCCCTCTTTCTGCCCCTTCCCTTCTGCTCCCTCTTCTGGTCCCATTCACATTTCCTCCCCACCCCCAACTCTGTTATCCCAGGCGGAAGCTGAGATCTGAGCCCCCAGGATGGAGATGTGGGGAAAAGCACTTTATAGCGGACTCATTAAAACTCAAAACCATTACTGATGTGCTCAACTCCTCTTGAATCCCCACCTAAGCTGGGGGTGGGTCGGTTGGTGATTTCGAGAATGCGGTCCCACGAGAGGACCCTAAGCTTTCTGCCCTGGCTTTGCATTTATTTGTATTTCATTCATTGGACACACATTCACTGGCCTGTTTTGTGCCTGTCCTGTGCTGGGCACTGGGGGGGCAACAGCCCGTCCGGGCCCTCACAGAGCCGACAGTCCACTGGGGGAGACAGACATTAATAAAATATTCTGGTAAATAAATGGATAGTTTTAATAATTATAACTTTATAATTTTTCTGGCACCACGGTTAGCGCCATGGGGGGGACGGGGCTGAGTCAGATAGCTTCCCTGGGGAGGTGATGAGTGAGTTTGAGCCGAGCCTAAAGGTATAAATAGGTGAAACCGGAGTGCGGTGGAGAAGAGTTACAGGCAGGGGAACAGCATATGCAAAGGTCCTGAGTCAGAAGGGAGCATAGCCTATTTAAGTGACAGGAGAAGGTGACACCTTCTGTTCTCCACCTGGAGTGGAGAGAGCAGTGGAGATGGGGCAGTGGGGTGTTATCGAGGGAGGTGAGTGTGGGACCAGCAGGGGCCAGACGAAGCTGGGCTCTTAAACCAGGTGAAGATTCTTGGCCTTTATTGGACAGTGAGCAGAGAATCATGTCATTAGATGTGTGTTTTTAAAAGGACACTCTGAGGCTGGTGCTTCTGCAGTGTGGTTTGCCTCTGAAAAAATACCCAGAAATGCTGGTTTAAAAATGAAGGAACATCCTTTTAAATGTACGACTGAGCTCAGACTAGAACCTGGAAAATCTGGGCCCCAAGCAGAGGTAGCTTCAAGCCGCAGATGCCCTGACAGGATTTGTCAATGCCAGAGACGCAAGGCATTAGATTTTAACAGCTTCCAGGCCTGGGGCTGGGGTGTCTGGAGAGAAGCAGAGGCCCCTGCATAGAACTTGGTCCCTTGAAGAGCAACACCTTCAATGAAAGAATGTGCTAGAAAAAAATCTGATTGGAACCATCGAGGCGCGCCTAGGAAACTTGTCTGTCTCGACTTGGGCTCTGGGTGGAGGAAATGTTTCCCCAGGGAATTCATGACCACAGACCTGCCTTCAGGCCAACTGGGGCTTGAATTGACCCCTGTGGAGTGCTCCAGGAAACCCCACACATAGAAATGAGCTGCAAGTTGGCTCTGGCCAAAGCCGGGAAGCCACTCTCAGCCGGCTTTGTGCAGAGTTACAGCAGATTAAGATCAACCAAGTTTAAGCTCACAATCGAAAACTGCAAAGCACACCAGAAGACCAAACGATGAACTAGCATGGGCTACTAGTTCCCTCCCCTCGATTTAACCTTGGAGAAACCAGAAGAAAGAAAGAATCCTGAGGAATAATGTAAAATGTTGAGAAATCCCCAGGACAAAGAGGTGATCTGGCATAGGGTTCTGATTCCTCTCTTTGTAACAAATGACCCGAAACCTAGTGGCTTGAAACAACGGTATTATTATGCCCACAGATTGTGTGGGTCAGGAATTCCTGCAAGTCTCAGCTGGGAGATTCTTTGGCTCTTTGTAGTAATGACTGAGGTCACTCAGGTATTCAGCTGGCAATGGGTTGGCATCAAGGGGTCCACATGACTTCACTCTGGTGGCTGGGCCAGGATGACTCAAAGACTTGGGTTGCTGACTGGAGTGTCTATATGTGGCTTCCTCGTATGGCTTGGGCTTCCTCCTAGCATGGCAGCCACAAAGTAGTCAGACTGCTTACGCGGCAGCTCAGGGCTCTGACCTGAGTGTTTCAGTGGACAGAGCAGAAGTACTTAGGAGTCAATCAGCATTGCTTCCTCTGTGTTCTCTTGGTTATTAGCAAGTCACCAAGTCCAGCCAAGATTCAAGGGGTGGGTGGGTAGACATAGACCCCGGATGGATGGGAGGGTCAGAATATGTGGATAGACTTGGAAATCACTGCAGGTAGGTTGGGGAGTGGACAGTGGAAAAGCCTTGGATTTTTCTAGTTCCTCACTTTCATGTTGCCCTGGGCAGATGATCCCCTGAGACATAAGCAGCCACGCAGACCCCCGGAGAGAGGGTGGGAGTCAGGTCAGGGGTGCTCCAGATTCCTATTTTATTGAATGGGTTGTAATATGTTACTCTCGTTATCTTGATGCTCAAATTATCTCCAATTTGGCGAGTACCGTCCATTCAAGCCAGCTTCTGTGTCTTCCTGGCATTTCTCCACCATTCTTTGAAGACTTTCTTGCTCTCCAGGTCAAGATGATCCAGGCTCATCTCATATTTTCTGGGCCTCAGCCTTGGAATCAGCCATCTCTGTAAGGATCTCTGGTTCCTTTTAGTGGGAAAATGGTATTTAGAAGCCAAGGTGTGGGTGCTGGGTGTGCTCATCACTATTGAGGTGTTGCCGCTCCCAGGAGCTCTCAGTGCACAGACCTAGAGGAAAAACAAAAACCAATAAAATATGTACCTAATCCCCACACCACGCACACATTTTTAAGTAGACTTGATACGTAGAGCAGTTGTAGGTTCACAGCCAAAGTGAGCGGAACGTGCAGAGAATTCTCGTATGGCCCCTGCACCCTGACACACAGCCTCCCCCACTATCAGCATCCCCCACCAGAGAGGTATATTCACTACAACTGAGGAACCTACAGTGACACATCGTTATCACCCAAAGTCCATAGTTTACATTAGGGTTCACTCTTGTAACTTCTGTGGGTTTGGAAAAATCGATAACGATACATCTCCACCATTTTGATATCCTGCAGAATAGTTCCACTCTTCACCCTAAAAGTCCTCTGCTCTACCCTTCACTCCCCCCTTCCCCTAGTCCCTGACAGCCCCTCATCTTTTTCCCGTCTCCGCAGTTTGGCCTTTTCCAGAACGTCGTATAGTTGGGACCATACAGTAGGCAACCTCTTCACATTGGCCTCTTTCACTTAATAAGATGTGTTTAAGGTTCCTCAGTCTTTTCGTGGCTTGATACCTCATTGGTTCTTTAGCACCAAATAACACCCCATTGTCTGGAAATGCTGGGTTATTTATCCACCCCTGGGGGGAGGGGGGTGCGTCTTGGCTGCCTCCAAGTTTTGGTAATTAGGAAGAAAGCTGCTGTAGGCATTTCCGTGCAGGTTTTTTGTGTGGACGTAAACGTGCTTTGTATTTCTTTCTATTGCCCTCCAACATCACAGGTTCATTCTAGTTTTCTTTAAAAGGGCCTCCTAGAGGGCAAAATCCTACAAGTTTTGAAAGCACGGATGACAATGCAACCGCACCCACGCTCGGGAAGCTGGAAAGCGCCGAGATGAGCGGTGGAGATGGCAGCAATCCTGAGAAAAGTGGGTCACAACTCGGAAGCCAGGAGAGCCGGGAACCAACCAATTTTAAGCAGCAAAATTCCCCTAAACTTTAGGAGTTGTTTGAAACAGCGACAGCGGAGGCAGAGAAGGCAAAAATCCAGAAGGGTCGATTGAAAGTCCGATTTCCTATAGCCCTTCCTCACGGCCAGTGAGGCAGCCACTCCTCCCGTGTTCTGGAAAAAACCTGGGGAGTCCTCTGGAGGGGATAAGAGAGCGGTTATTGGCCTGGGGTGGGCAGGCCGGTCTATTCTGAAAACAGGAGATGAGAGGATGGCTGAAGGTCGGGGACATCTCAAGCCCTCTTTGTCTGCCTGACCTACAACTGAAAAATAAGGACACGAAAACATACGCTTCCTGTGTAGAGCGATGGAGGAACACGCTTAAATAACCAGAAGAGTTGGCCGTCGCCCTGCATGCAGCTGTGCCGCCTCACAGGCACCCCCACCCTGCTCCAGCTCCGCGGACAGCGCCTGCCCCCTCTGCACGGCCATCGCGGTGTCACCAATGCGCTTTCTTTCTGCCGATCTGATAGGTGAAGAATGGTATCAGGGCGGTTTGAAATGGTGGGAGGCGAAGCAATAACCACCACGAGACGCCACTTCACGCCTATCAGATTGGCAACGTTTTAAAAGTCTAACAGCAGTCATGTTTGTTGTGCAGGTGGAACAAGAGAACGTTCGCATCCTGTGGGTGAGAATGTACCTAGACATGACTGCTGGGAGAGGCAACCTGGCCCTGCCTGGGGTGGCTGAAGGGGTGCCCACCCCACGACCGTAGAAACACTGGTGATGAAATGCCCATTAGCAGCAGAATGACGATACACAGTTTGGTATATTGATAGACTGAAGTGCTCTACAGCCGTGGAAATGAATTGGCTAAAGGTGCCAGCATAAATGTGGATCAATCCCCACATCAGGAAGTCAAAAGATGACAGCCAGTGGGGCCGGCCTGGTGGCGTAGTGGTTAAGTTTGTGCGCTCGGGTTTGGCGGCCCAGAGTTTGCAGGTTTGGATCCCAGGCGCACACCTAGCACCACTCATCAAACCACACTGGCAGTGTCCCACATACAAAATAGAGGAAGATTGTCATAGATGTTAGCTTGTGGCCAATCTTCCTCAGCAAAAAAAAAAAGAAAGAAAGAAAGAAAGAAAGAAGAAAAGATGACATCCAGTTCCAGAAGACTACATTCAGGATGTTATCCCTCATCTAAAGTTAAGTAACAAGCAAATGATCAGTCTGGATTGTTGGGTTTGTAAGCACGTGCCCTGTAAATTAAACAGAAAGCAGGAGCAATGAAATGCTCCCAAACCTGGATATTGGCTGCTTCTGGTGGGCAAGTGAGAAGGGTGTGATGAGGGAGGAATAATTAGCAGATTTCATCTAAACTGATGACATTTGACTCTTGAACTGGGTGGTCAAGACCGGGATGTTCATTGTATAGTTCCTTGTGGCGTTTGCATGTCTTAAATATTTTACAGTGCAAATAAGAAATGAGGGTAGAGTTCCCCGGCAGAGGGAGCAGCGGGGCAAAGGTCCTGAGGCTGGAGGCAGCTCACGGGAGGCTGGGATGCAGGGGGTGATGTGTGGCTAAGCAGTCAGCAGGGGCCGGACCAGCCACGGGGCGCCCGTAAGATTTCTCTTCCTTTCTCCTGAGAAGAGTGGGGAGTCGTGGAAAGAGTTTAAGCGGTAAGTGACATGAGCAGATTTGCCAAAATGATCGTTTTGGCTCCTGAGTGAAGAGCAGATGGGATGGGAGGAAGAGTGGGGTCGGTAAGCCCAGTTAGGAGGATGGCGCCGTGATCCGGCTGAGGCAGAACGGTGGCTTGGACCACCTTCCAAAGTCGCCAGGAGAAGCCGTATGGAGACAAATGGATGGAGCCCAGCCCCGTCCA